GTGGTGGTGGTGGTGCATTACCAGTGAGCTATTAGGCGATATTTGTGAAGTTGGGGCAAGTTTTATCTACAATGTTTCATATGGTTTGACAGAAAATTTTGAGCTCTCCAAGATGCACTACTTAACACAAATAAGTCAGTGGGCACGCAGATAAAGCTCAAACTAGTTCAGATGAGAACAATTTTGTCGCCTTTGTCAAGTCCTTTCCCAAAATTCTCAAGTTTTACAATATTATATGATTATTGTTACTCGGAGTTTTTTCAAACTCCGATGTAGCTAGTTATGTGACTGCTATGTGGTACTGTCCGAGCTTAGGACACTTACAGGTGCAGCTTTGGTTTAGTTTTGCTCATTTGTCATCTATCTCATGCAAAGAAGATACACACAAATCTTTTCCGATGTTCTGAGACTGAGATAACACTTGACTTGACAAGAAAACGATTGAAATACAAACAAATCTAGGAAGACAGATACAAATGTGTCGAGATATCATTGACTCAGACATGTTTCGTGTTTACAGTTTGACCGTGTAACTGTTACCGAGTTGTTTTTGCTGAACTAAAAATAAATGTGTACACCGAAATTCGTGCGCGAATTTTCCAAGTTTTCCAAAATAATTTTTTGTGGTCAGTCGACACGGTTTGCGTGCATCATATCTGTCGTTGCGGTTTTGGAGCTTCCCGAACGCCTCCGTTATTTCGGGACTGGTAAAGAAGTTTGCGGTGGTAATGAGATCAATTTCAACGAGTATGCCATCTTTTCTTCTTCGATATGAAATCTCTTTCGATCGCCCCTCGGTCTTTCTGTCTCGATGGCCTTCGAATCAAAACGATTGTACGGTGAAGCGTATCTCCGTTGGTCACGTTACCCGTCACGCATCATTCAGCGCACAGTAACATATGATTATATCGAATACATCTACCTTAAAGAGGCTCTCATCAACAGTCAAAAGTGAAACGAGTCGTTTGGATGAAGAAAAGCGATTATGCAAAAAATGTTTCATGAGGCAGTTATGCCCAGGAAATCAAAAGCAAATGCCATTTCGCCAAAACACAAGCTGCTGGGTTTCTCCTTTGATTGGTAAAACCTTGGCAGTATTAGTGGCCATCGAGAAAGTGACTAAACGCAATTTCCGACTGTTCCGCGTGTCACTTTCTTGGCTGTGAAAATCCACTTCCAAAAGGAGAAGCAGGTTTACAACTTTCTTGAGAACCTTATCCTTCAACCGACGACGTTTGTGACTTCAAGATTCCGGTTTATAATATGAATTTATGAAATACTGCAAACATTCGAACATCGAAATCACTTGCTCTTGGAAGTTAGAATCCTTCCGGCCTACGGAATGCGTTTTGATTAGATAACCAAAAAGTCTACACAAAAAAACAACTGATGCATACACTATATGAACGAGTGAATGATAAGGTCCGCTCACGAAAGAACGGACTCAGTCAGAATGTTGAACGATTCTCCCGTCTAAGCAATTTCCTAACATTGAAGGTGAAATTTGAAAGAAAAATCTCAATAATACGGTGATTTTAGTCCACGCCGATGTCCACTGATTGAGACGGTGGCAATTTCAGTGCAAGGAGTTTGGAGCAAAACCTCTGCATGGAGGAATGGATATTGCATACCACTGGCGAGCTACCTCGAGAATAAAACTTAAAGATGAAGTAGCCTGAAGCGTAAAGCGAATCGGATGAACACATTATTGTTCGTGAAAGTAAAATCAGTCTAAACCCATGAGAGCAAGTAGGCCATAACACGACTCACTCAAATCGTATAAAAATTTGAAATTAAAATCCCAACTATGACTCCAGTTGGTTTGCAGTAGCCACATTTGTCCCGTATGAGGCTAACACATCATTTTGGAAAGGACCAGATGATAAAGTTATCTAAGTTGAATTAAATCGATTAATTCGGTATTATGTATTTGTTCATTCACCTCAAAAGACCTCCATTTGGAGGCAATAAATGATCTCTTCAAAATGGAAAGAAGAACACTTTTGACAACAGCGCAAATTCAAGATTCAATCGAATTGCAAAGAGAGAAATTTAGCTCGTTGAGGGCATGGGGGAGAGGAAACCATAGAGCAATCGTAATGTATCTATTATGGGCGCGGCATTTACCTGTGTGAGACAGATATAACGTCGTTTCCATTTTTTGAACGTTGTCCTCCCTTGAATCCAGCAATAATTGGCATACTTCAAATTGGTCGGTCGTTGCATTGATATGGATGCCTGAAGTTCGAGAGCGTCGTGACAATGCTTGGTGACTTGTAGTCGTAACCACTGGGGGATGCGGGGACTGGACCAAGTCGGATAGAGGGTGATCTGCGTGGACGGGTTCGAAGATGGAGGGATGATTGACGATGGATATAAATAGACGCGGGCAAAGGTTAACGGTCGGTGTGAACCCATACTTATGGTAATTAGTACAAAGTGGAAGTGGTTGTAACGTCCCATAGAAAACTGCGCGGATAAAGTGCTTTAACGGAAGCGCGCATGGAGGCACGAACGGAAAGCCAGTGGTTAGATTAGATAGGACAATAGCACCTAACACTGAATAATATGTTTGAATCACATTTGTGCTAGACAGCGCATTAACCGAAATGAACGTGTAATACAATATTCGACATTTTTTGTGATGAAATCACCTTTGATCTATGACCTTTTGCTCAAACAGCCACACCTCATTTCTCAACGCGTACTCGTGTGTAGCACTCTTCGGCTGTGCACATTCACGGACACGGACACGCGCGCACGCACACACTGGGACGTGAGTTACAATTTACAGTTGTGCTGACATACGCCTCAAGGTCACTTTTTATCAGATCGAAATTTAATGAAGATCCATAACACTCCTACATAAATACAGACGCACACACATGGAGTAATCATGCTAATTATGATGCTCAAAGTGGTGCGATCCACTAGAGTGTCCCGTTAATCGTGCTGTGATTTTTCTGGCCATTACCAAAACATAGGTATGTAGTTTAGGCTCAGTCGATCCTGTTGTATAAAACTTGTTCTACCCTAGATTTTCTGTTAACTCACTGAAACTCGCTTCTTGTGCGCGTTCGTCAAAGTCACTTTGATTGAGTAGACTACAGGAAATTTCAAGGAGCTTTTAAAGCTTGAGCAGGTTGCAAATGTCCAACTTAAATCAACGGGCTCATCGATTACTGTTAGCGTGAGAGCCAAGACCTCTGCGCTACCCGCTTGTCATGAATGATTTGGTGATTATACCGAGATTCACCAATAAAGATGTCGAACTGTAATTAGTAAGCAAACTGAATGTTACTTATGCAAGTCTCAGAGAAACTACGAGGGCGCAACAAAACGATTGGAGTATGGGCAATTGTCATGTGATAAAACAAACCAATTTTCGTCTCATAACGACTGCAGAAGATTGTTCAAGATTGGTACGGTCAGTAGTTTGTCTGTACTAGATCTCATGTTCGATGCTGATACGAAATATCATGTTCTATCTTTTATTACTCAAATGAATCAAGTAGTCCACTTGATATAAGAATGTTATCAATGTACTTAAAAATTCTAATTCGTCGTGTGGTTGAGCTGAACGCGGAAGATGAAGTCAATTGCTGAGGACTGCCATAACTTTCTAGTAGTCATGGCCAAGGTTCAAACGCACACACATACCCAGGACTTCGGGTTCGTTGTTGAGAGTTTATTCTGGAGTAGTATTAAACCCTGGTAACATTTTAAGTGTAAGATTTCATTCGCATAACCGTTCGGTTTTCCCCTCTTACATGAAATAGAAGATGAATTTTAATGTCTATGTACAGTGCACAGAGTATCCGCATGTCACTAAACAGTGGCAAGCGCATTTATTCCTCATCATTCTGACCGGAATTATTGTTAAATCTCCGTTTCAATTGTATGAACTCCTCTGTGCACCGCTCGAAGGTGTGCTGCTGTTTTGGTCATCCTTGATTCACGGTAGAATAACAAGGGGGGGGGGGGGTAAAGAATTTGAGACGAAAAATGCACTTTGTTTGATTCATGAATGAAGATACACCAATCCCCTCAAGTCAAAGTTCCCTCGGTCTTTAACTCTGCTTCCATCTATTAGTGTGTTCCAGAAAGAAAAGTGTGACCTTTTCCATCCTTGTTGTTTCACAACATTAGGAGAAGATAGAACTGTTAGTTTATTTATTGATCTATAGCTCTTTCAGTCAGTCAATCAGTCTACTCCACTCGGTCACCGGAACACATCCGCCTGGTTTTCCCTCTTCATCATCGTCGTCGTCTTCTCGTCCTCCGTAAGTTTTTGGGTCATTTCACGCAAAAGAGCTCGAGCGTTCACGCACGCACGCACACACACACACACACACACACACGCACACAGTCACAAGGAAAAGTAATTAACCCCATGGAATTCGGTTTTTCACGTAGCGAATGCACCTATACATGCATGAGACGTCAGGCGGGTAAATTAGTGAGAGGTTACGTTCAAAAATCAGAGCAATAGGCCAGTATCAGACCATCCCCCCACACGCCTGAAGCAGGGCATTTCCGGTTTGCTTTCAGACGAGCGGTAGCAACAGCAACAGCAGCAACAACAATAACAACAGCACCAGTGTGGACAAGTCGAGAACCAGTTTATGAAACCAGATGGGGTCATCATAGAGTTCACATCGGTCTGTCACACTGGGTGATATACACACACACGCACACACGCACACAGGGGTGCACGAGAGCGGTTACGCATGCACGCGCCGAATATACGCAAGCACATATTCGAAAACGGAGAGAAATCTCTCAACAGGAGAGTGGAAGAAGAGGTAAGGAAGACTGCACGTGGAATATGCTGAACAATTTTTTGTCGATCATCTAGCCGAACGGTACGGAGTTGTGATCACGTCCGATAGCTTGTAAGCAAAGGGAAAATTGTTGAAAATATGTTTCTCTAAAACAAATCTCGTGATGAGGAGGCAAATAAAACGAGCACGAAGTGTGGGTGGAGAATTAGAATCACTCACCTTTCCTAGTTCTTTATCGTCAATAGCCAAAGGTCCAGAAGACTCTTTAAAGACTTTCAGTTTGAGGGCGGGAAGCGGTTGTGTGGTCTGGAATTCCGCTGTGGTATCCCATCTGAATGATTGCAAGTGATAAAAGTACCCGGCGAGAATGTGCAGATGAGTGGCAATCCAAAATAAGGAAACTTTCGGGCAGCATGAACGTCAGGAATTATTACGGCAACTATAGATAAACTGTTACACTGAAATTATTTATTGAGTGAAAATTGATGTGTTTTTGTGTTAGAATGTCATACCCCCCCTCTGTGCCGGCGCAGGATGGCTCTAGCAGCATCTGGTTTTCAATGGGAGATCACATTTTCTGGGCAAAACGCATACGGGGATGAAAACAGAATAAGGTTTCAGCTAATTATCCGTGAAAACTGGCTATTGCTAACTTCGAGATGATGATGATGATGATGATGATAATGATGATGATGATGATGATGATGATGAT